TGAAACTAGATCCTATCTCCCACCATATGCAAAAAATCAAATCAAAATAGATTAAAGACTTAAATCTAAGACCTGAAACTCTGAAACTACTGGAAGAACATTGGGGAAACACTTCAGGACTTTGGTCTGGGCAATGATTTCTTGAGTAATACCCTCAAAGCACAGGCAACCAAAGCAAAATCGGACAAACGAAATCCCATTGAGCTAAAAACCTTCTGCACAGCAAAGGAAACAATCAACAAAGGGAAGAGACAACCCACAGAATGGGAGAAAATATTTGCAAACTGCCCATCTGACAAGGAACCAATAACTAGAACATATAAGGAGCTCTAAGAACTCAATAGGAAGAAACCAAATGATCTGATTAAAAAATGGATGAAGGATCTGAATAGACATTTCTCAAAAGAAGACATGCAAATGGCAACAAGTATATGAAAAAAAAATGTTCCACTTTTCATTTCAATTGTCACTTCCCCCGTATAGTCTGGAGATAAAGGAAATTCTACTGACGTGAGTGCATCCCGGATAAGTGTGTTTTCCTCCATTCCAACTGCATCAGTTCTCTGTCAGGACATTTTTTAAAACAAGCATCCTCCATCCTCATGCAGCACAGATCTACATACTTAAAAGTCAGCAATGCACATACATAAACATGAAGAAAAATCTCACAATAGTACCTTTCAAGCTTTTGTCAAGCTCAGCCCCATTTTTATAACAGTGTCTGGAAATAAAGGGCTGCGTGGCTTCTGTCTGTAAAGTGTTTCCAACTGGTTGACATTAAAAGTAGTCTTAAATTCAGTGTATGTAGTCTTTATTCTTGATTATTTGTATCTTTTTAAATTCACATATTCAAAAAGTATTCAAAATTTATGTATACGGTGAATAGATCGACTTTCTGAAAGGCCACTTAATTATCGCCCCTGTTGACTTGAGAGCGCTCCCTTATCAGCACGAAGGCTGTTTCCCTTCTGTAGCAGGTGCTCAAGGAGCTTTGCCATGTTCCTCAATTGCTATTCAGAACCAAATCTTAGTGCACGGTGGTTTATCCTCTTGAATATTTGCCCGTCACTGTGACTAGATTATCTCACTGTTACAGTGTGGTTTCCCCTCCATGCCAATCCTGACTTGAGCCCAGAAAAAGCCAACAAGTGACTTTTCTATAAGTGTAAATGAGGATTTTTAGCTTCTTACCTGAGAAAGATCAAAATGCCAATATGCTACTTATTCATCCCGAGAACAGCTCCGGGGGCCCCTTTATCTGTGGGGAGCTTCGAGATCATGGCCCCCCAGTACCGAAGGGTATTTGTTGAAAGAGGGATTTTAAGCCTACGTCTTTGCATTTGTTTAAAATTGCAGTGGTTCTTATTTGGCATTTGAAGGAGCAAGTGAAAGATTGAGGAGAGACACGGAAATCAACGCGGGCTCCTTCCTTTGGTCCTGAGAAGTGGACTTAGGGAGATGTGGACTTAGGGAGATGTGAGATCAGGGTGAAAAATGTTGCCTAATAATCATGAAATTGCAGGCATTTGTCTTCCTGTTCTACTTTTCTATTTTTCTTACATTTTTAGGGATGAGCATGTTTTACTTCTGACTGTTCTTTACACAACTTTTGAAGGCTGCTGTGGTATTATGATAACCTTGGCATTTTATTTACATGTTCAGTGATTGGGGAAAGCCTAAACTTCAAGGGAGAGACTGAGAGGGAGGGAGAAAAAAAAGGGAGGAAAGCTGAGAATGGGGTGGGAAGGGTCTCACTGGCCCCCACCATAGCCCACGGAAGTCCATGTCCTCTGGTGGGCGGGCTGTCCTCAGAAACATGCACGCACCTGTTAAGCCCGATTTCTGCCAAGGAGAACACATTATTCAGAGCAGAGAGATAGTCGCATCTCCTGATACAAAAAAGTGTTTTGTGTGGCACAGCATAAAAAATTCTGCACAACCGAATGCACTTGCTGACAGATCCGGTTTCCAAGCAATGGCCTTTCTCCCCTAGGGCGTCACCTCATCTGCAGGCAGCCCTGGAATTGAGTAACCAAGAGCCATTCTTCTTGGAAACCTGACAGTCAAGACATAAATGGATCAAGCTAGTCTATTTTTTTTTCATGACCATAAACAAGAAAAATAGTTTTATCTGTAAAGAGATTCCACTGTCTTATTTTGGTTTTGTTTTATTTTCTTTCCTGTCTCTTCCATCCAACCTCCTGTTTTGTTCCATTGGTTTAGGATTAAAACCCAAGACTGAGGGCAGAAGGGGAAAATGATTATGAAGCTAAGTTTCCTGTTCCAAAGACTAGGAAAGGATTTGCTCTCCTGCGGGTGAGGTTGGGGGACGGGGCACGAGAAGAATGGTGGTGGATGTGAGGACAGAAAGGTCAGTGGGTCTGGAGGCCTGAGAGATTGGGTCCCAGGGTCCCAGCTGTCTTTTCTCTTGCTCACTCGCCAATCCAGAAGACTTCACTAGGGAAGGCTCCTCTTTTGCAGGTGTTGAATGATTTCCTTCCCCTGGTGGTCCCCAACTATTGCAATGGAACCCAACTGCCCAGTCAGGGATATTGGGTAATGCTTGCTAGCTCCAATTACATCTTTTCTCTCTTTTGTTTTTGCCATAAATCTTGCTTATCACTGAATCTCTTGCCTTTTATACAAAAGACACATCAATAAGCCGGATTCATGGAATGACCAAATTGATTTAAAAGCTGTTTTCTGATTGATCAATAGGTCTCATTTGCTCATTGTTGCTTTTTTTTTAATAAAAAAAAGCTATTTGATTTCACTTGAATGATTTTTACAACATCAATGTAAATAATCTTTAATCTATCTCTGTCCTTGGTCCCTCCAAGAATTATCATTTTCTAGATCATGAGGAATCTACGCTAAATATATATCATATGTATCATCCTTTGCTTCATTGTCCTTTAATACCCTCAACCTACACTTTTATACCATCACAAATAATCTGGGGCAGAGGCTAGCTCAACTTTATCATGTTGTAGGAACACAGAGTGAAAACCCAGCCATCATCTGTGAATACTTAGAAAGCAAACAAACACACATCGATTATTCAGCACGTTGTCCTGCCTCTCTCTTGCAGTCTTGAATATTTATTTTCACTTTCTAATTGGCTCGTGCACAGTGTTCTTGTTTCTCCTTAGCAAGGAAATAACTGGGATGTCTGCAACTCAGGACTCTTAGCAGTCTGTATCTCTTCTATGAGCGTGTGTGTGTGTGTATGTGTGAGAGTGTGTGTGTGTGTGTGTGTGTGTGTGTGTGTGTGTGTGTAAAATCTACCATATATTCACTGTAGCAGGTAACATAGTGATTCATAAAGATGTTGGTTTTCGTCTTTGAGCTTAAGCATGGATATATGACTTGCGTTGGCCAATAAGGTATGAGCTTTAAGAGTTAGGAAAAATTTAAGAACCAATGTTTGTACCAAGTATACAAAAAAAATGCTAAAGGCCACTAATTATCAGGGAATGCAAATCAAAACCACAAGGAGATATCAGCTCACACCTGCCAGGATGACTGTGACCATTATTAAAAATCCAAAACACAACATGCGCTGACAAGGATATGGTGGAATTGGAACTTTGCACACTGTTGATGGGACTACAAAATGGCGCAGCCGCCATGGAAAGCAGTGTGGAGGTCCCTTAGAAAATAAATACTACCCTGTGATAGAGCAATCTCACATCCAAGTATTTATACAAAAGAATTAAAATCAAGATCCCAGAGGTATATTGACACTCTCATGTTCATTGTGGTATTCACGATGGTTAAACAACCTACGTGCTAACCCACAAACGAATGGATGAAGGAAATGTGGTATGTACATAAAAGGGAATACTAGTCAGCCTTTAAAAAGAAGGAAATCCTGCAATATGTAAAGATATGGATGAATCTCGAGGATATCCAGGCTAAGTGAAAAAAGCCAGGCAGAGAAAGACGAATACCTCATGACTCAGAGCGGCAGCACAACATTGTACATATAAACAAAAATAATATATTAATACTATGCACTTAAAAATGTGAGAGATTAGATCTCCTGTCAAGTATTCTTACCACCAACAAAAAGAACAACTGTGTGATGCAAAATGTTCTCTTCTCACGGACACAGTAATAGCCAAGGCATTGCAGAGATGAGCCCTCTGTCAGCCTGGGCGTCTGAGAGCTACAATGACCACAGTCCCCTCCAAAACACACACCCGCAGGGACGACTCTCCAAGTAATTTTGCCAAGTAAAAACAGACTGACCAAAACAAAATGAACAGTATATAATTCCAGTTATATAAAATTCTAGAAAATGCAAGCTAATATATAATGGCCAAGGGTTGATGATCACTTGTTTCCCGAGAGACAGCTGAAGCAGAGGAGGGGAAGTAGGAAAGGTAGGAGGGAAAGGTCAGGAGGGAGGGGTTAGGTAGGGAACAAGGAAATGTTTACAGGTGAGGGATGTCTTCTTAACTCGTCTGTGGTGATTGTTTCAAGAGTGTGCACATATGTCAGAACGTATTAAATGGTACAACCTAAGTACGTGCAGGCAATCTCATCGATTATGCCTCATTGAAGCTGTTAAAGAAAAACTGGTTGCTATGTGATTAATGCAAAATTATACTAAAGAATACAATTTTGTTAGAAACTTACCTGTTTTTTTTTTTGAATGGCACATAAAATGGACATTTAAAGTTTTAACTGGCATGACAGACACCTACTTGGAAATAACAGACTAGGCCCCAATTATTTAATAGGGAAGATGGATTATAAGCAAGGCATCATTATACTTTTGTTTCAAAGTCGGAGGTATTTTATTGTCTTTTCTTTACAGTTTGTTTTTCTCTGGGAAAGGAAATCATTGCTGAATTGTCAGAGGTCTTTATACATTCTAGTTAAAGGTGATGCCCTAGTGTGTTTCAGGTCATTCATTATCTTATTTTGAAAAGCAGATTTTAATTTTGATAAAATCTAACTTACCTTTTATTATTTTATTTTCATGAACTAAGCTGCTTTTCGTCTTAAGAAATCATTGCCTACCTCGTGTATCCCAAGTTTTAAGGAAAGCACTTCCAGCCTAAGTGAAGAGTCAGTCGTGTATTTTATTTAAAAAAAAAAAAGTGCAGTGTGCACCCTACTCAGCTACTTTACCCTGTCATTGCTGGCTCCAAGCAGGTCAAAGCACATCTTGACTTCCTCTTAGCAGAGAACATGATCAGACTGCGGTGATTTAAGTGTCAGGAGAAACGTGGAAACAGTGAGGAAGAAGGAAGCGTTGTTCAGAAAAGCGACGCGGGCCGCGCTCTTGTGAGGCGCCGCGACCCGAGCACCACCGAGAGGAACGTTGCAGAAGGTGTCTCTGAATGCTGAGCTGGCCGGGCCGTTTTCTCTCAGACGCTAATTGCCCCGCTGACCTAAATAGAGCTGCTGCTGGTGGTGCTTCGCTTGCAGCCGCTCCTGAGCGGGGAGCTTGGTTTTCAGCCAACCTCAGCACAAAGAGTAATTGCCAAGAGCCAGAATGATCAGGTGTGTGCCTACCTGGGAGTAATGAGGGGCAGGAGATTTGAACGGACAGAGAAAGTATAATAGCTTTCCCACGACGGCCCTCCCCTTTCTGGGACCCCATTCTGAAGCCACATTCACTCACAAAGAAGCTTCATCCTTGGTCCTAGAAGGTGTCGGTGGCTGCCCGGGACTTTCCAAATAAATGCCATTGTGCCCAGATGACCCCACTGCCATCTGGTCGCCATTCCTGACGGCTAGATGAAAAGCCCTCGGTCTGCACTCTTACTCTGGGGGCCACCCAGGTGAACATGAATCCTCAGCGCAGACACACTGCCTGGGTTTACGGTGCAGGCAGAGATGCTCATTGCAAGGGAACTTGTGTTTCTGCTGGGTGGTCTGTAATCACAGGGCTCACTACACTTTTAACTCGTCCAAATAAAGACAGCCTCTTCAACGTGGTGGTGGTGGGGTGATATCATTAAATACAGATGAAGAAATCAAGGTACCTGGGAGTTTATAAACTTCACAAGGCCACGCATTAGTGAGGGGATAGAATACAGACTCAGGTGACCCTGAACACTTTGCAATCTTGCCTATATCTAGGGACCCAACTTTCATCCAGGGTGTTGCCCTCAGAGCTGTAGGCCAGATGTGCAGGTCAGTGCCACCGCCGGGTGTTCAGTATGGGACCAGGAAGGGTGATTTGCCTGTCACAGCCCTTAGGTTTGCATCCTGGCACACTCCCTTCTAAGACACAAGTCCTGGGGCAACTTTCCCATCCTGCCTGAGCCTTGGTTTTCTTGCCTGTGAAATGGGAATGACAACAGTATCATCCCATAGGGTTTTGTGAGAGTTAGGGGCTGATTCCCACCAAATCACTTGCTGAGTAGGAAGAATTTAATAGAAATTGAATGTTGGGGGAGGAGTCACAATTTATCCCCCTCCCCGCAGTGAGGACCCACGACTGGCCAAGCGCCTGTCCACGCTGCAGAGTCAGCTAGAAACATTCACACCCTTCTCTTCAAGCCATTTGAAATCTATAATGGATTATCGTAAACTATTGTCACCCTACTGATCTAGCAAACACCGGGTCTTATTTTTTCTATCCAACTGTGGTTTTGTACCCTTTAAGGTTTTTTTTCCCCTCTTCAATCAACAAAGAGATTATAAAGTGGAAAGAATGTCCTATTTAAAAATAGCAATTTCTCTTTCTATTTTTCCCTGTTCTTCTTTCTCTCTGCCTTGTCGCATTTTCTGAAAAGTGACACAAGTGCATCTAACTGGTGTATCTAGGCAGGATCCTTTCTTGTGCTGTCTTTGGAGCCGACCGGAGCCCGGAAGATTATCTCCTGGCACTGAGGCTCGCTCTCCCTGTGGATGGGACATGGGGCACTCAGGTGCCTGAATTCTGTGGATGGCTTTGATGCCACGATGAGCAAGAAAGCTCCGTGACAGTGACTGCTGTCAGGTCTCCGCAGCAAGACGATCCCACACAAAGGGACAAGCGCTGAAAACAAAGGTGGGGAAAGGTAGCTGGGAGGCAAACTGGGAAACTAAAAAGCTCTCACCTTCCACAGTGATAGACTTGCATCTTAGCGTTCCCCGTAGAAGGTTTTGTAGCTTTGGGTTCTATTCTAATGCAGCAGAGACCCTGCATTTCATTCTGGGCAATGGGTGAAATACAGTGAGCTCAAGATTCCTCTGCATGTCATGCCCAAGGTATGGTTTGTGAGGGTCTGACCACCGAACTTTGAACAGGTCACCCTCTCTTAGTACATGCGTCAGCATCTTAATATATTTTTAAAAGCTAAAATGTGAAAATTTTTAATGCCGTTTAAAATATTTGAAGAAGATTAATTAACTTAGTTTGAAGTGTAACATTTATTAGCTTTGCAAATACAATAGTGAGATTTGTAAGTTGAACTGGAAAACTGGGGGAAAAATGGGCTTTGAATGTTTCCTTGTAATACATTGAAATATGAATTTATAAACAACCAAGTGAATATAGTGTTTATCTATACCAGAGGCACGTTTGAGGCAATGAAAATTCACCTTAAGCCATTGCACTGACAAATGACTTAAATTTAGTGGACACAGGCCATTCTCATGATGTGTGTTTGGGAACAGGAGAAGCGAGATAGAGTCCATCAGCGGACACTCACCGCGGGAATGAGCTAGCCGGCTAACAGCACTCTGGAGAGCTCTCCAAGGCACAGTGCTAAATAAAGAAAAACGAAGAAACACAAGCTCCGTAGTACAAACCCATGATGGAAATTTACGTGCACAAATCATTACCATATAATTTCAAAGAAATCGCCCAAAGACATGGATCTATCACATTAGAAGTGGAGGAGGGGGTCAGTTCAGGCAAGTTCAGCAGAGGCAGAGATTAGGATAGAGGTGGGAAAAGTATGCAAGACAGACACACACATTAACCTATAATATTTATGCACCACGGACTGGGGCTTAGGCAGAATTCTGTGCTATCAGAATTCCAAAAAGGAAAACTCCAGAACATAAAACTCCCATCAGCATACAATTCACTTCTGATTTCATTCACAGAGGGGCCTTAGATTAAGTTTCCATGTTGCAGGTGTGAAAACATTTGGCATCAAAGTCGCTCAGAATCATCCAGCTCAGAAGAGGATTACAGTTTTGGGTCCCTGTGCTTCTAAATATAACTTTCCTCTTGTGCCTGTGCTATTATTAATATCTGATAATTATGAGAAACGTGCTGGGAGTTTGCACTTCCAGATGTGCGGCTGAAGATTAGATTCTATTTACAAAATGCTGCCACTTTTTCTCATTCAGAGGACTAACTTGGGAAGAAAGCATCAGCTCTTTGCACCTTCACTTAAGCAGTTAATTCTGTGGGCTTCATTTCCCCTGTTTGTCAAAGCATTAATGAATGCTAAGGTTTGATAAGGCCGAATTCCTGCAGGAAGCTCTTTGATTGCAGCGTCCTGACGCCTCTCAATTTCTCCAGGGCGAGCAGCAACTCAGCAAATAGAGGTCAGGGTTTCCCGGCCTTTGGAGTGGGAAAATGTTGATAGCATGTCTGAGGGGACGTTTCTGCCCACGGAATAGGCCAGCCCTGGAGGAAGAGGCTTAGCTGGGTGTGGGAAGCGTGATAACTGCTGACCAAAACAGCAGAATCGAGAAGCTCAAGGCCTTCCGCCTAGGTAACGGCAAGGATCGCAGATGTTTTCATGAAGCCCTTAAATGTTCTATCTAGGGCCACGGCTGGCCCCCGTCTCCTGTTCTTGCTTGATGTTGAGTTGAGGTCGTGTGACCGAGCTCTGGCCGATGGACGTGAAGTGAGGGGGCCACCGCATCCCACGGAGGAAATTCCGCGACTTCTTTTCTCACTCTGGAATGACCCTGGGCAGTGGGTGTTTGAATTTCACCGTGGAAGGAATCTCGTCCTCTTAAAAATGCACGAATCAGGGCCTCCCTACTCCCCAGCGGAATATGCACTGGGGTCTAAAGCAAAAGTCCACCTATGTTGTGAAAAACTGCTCATGTCACTAAAATGCAGGGGTGTCTGTTGTAGCCGTTAGGAGACCTTTGCTACGAAAGGCAGAATGATATGGAAAGAGAAAGAGAGAGAAAGCGAGATCCCACTGGGTTAATCCAGGACTAAACCAAGCACACCCGCTAAGAGCACCCCCGTGTTGGCCACCCCCCCCCTTCTCAGGGAGGGGGTCCTGGTTCTCAGAGAAAAATAAATACTTTTGCAAAATGTGTGGGTGGGAAGGGACAAAAATAATAATGGCAGCAAGTAACAAGCAAGTGCACACCAAGTGCAGAAAGGATCAGCAGAAGACAATTTGAGATATAGGCAAATGTGCTTTTTTTATATGAAGCCTTGATGGTCTGCCTTAATGTTTTTATACTATCTGAAGCTCTAGGGGAAAATTTTATTGTAAAATTATAATTTCTCAATATAAATTCAGATGTTAAGTTGCTCTTCAGCAATCAGACGGCCTGAATTTAAATCTGACACTGTGTAGGCTTATGTGCGGTATTTCACCTACGTTTCTCAGCTTCCCCCTCTACTGAATGGGGTTGATAAAGAACATATGACCTTATTACACACACACACACACACACACACACACGCACGCACACGCACATGCGCACGCACACACACACGAGTCAGGTGGCCAGGCCAATGTTGTGCCAATATTAGGTGCTAGAATCATCTGGGCTCCAGAGTTCACGCTCTGAATCAATATGCTATTAATATCATGCCCCTGTAAGCATTTGTTGCGTATTCACTCATACAATCCTAGTTATAATTCTGTAATGTGTTATCATCTCTACTTAAAGAAGAGGAAGCTAAAGCATAGAGATTTCCAGAAGCAAAGCATTTCATCCAATCTTGACATTATCAATCATTGTCATCAACATTTACTGAACATGTTCTGCATGCCGGGCACTTATTAACATCCCACTGTGACTTTATGCTGGGAGTCCTCTTATTATCTCTGCTTTACAAATGAGGCAACTGAGGCACAAAGAATTTAAGTAGTTTCCCTAGATTAGTGAGTAGAAAAGAGATATTTGATTCCTCTCATAACACATGTACACACACATACGTGCACATACAAAAACATACTGTACATACAGCTATAATCCTCACCTCTGTTTACTGTGTCCTGTGTTACACATAAAGTCATAAATATCTCATGTATAGAAGTTTAGGGACCCTCCATCTATTGATGCCAAACTCAAGGGGTCTTATATTGCTCCTGGAGCTAGTTTATCATTCTCAATACAAGAAAGACCCGAAGCTATCAGTAGAGACAATTGTATGACAGTGAGCCTTTGTAGAAGATGGATTTAGTGTTTGGTTTCTTAAGAAAATGAATGTCCCATTCCTCTATAAGCCAGAGGGTCCGAGTGTGGCGAGCTTTTATCACTGGGGAGGAGAGATTGAAATCTCGACCCAGTGGCCTGTGTAGGCTCTGCCCTACCACTTGTACCTGTGCTGCCCCTACAAGTGCGCTAGACTCCAAGCACCTGTCCTCTCCTGGCCCTCAAAAGCTGCCTTCTTCTGCTCCCATTTAGAGGAACAAAGCTACAAAAACTAAGGGTTCCAGAAAAAATGCGTGCATGCAGAAATGAGAGGGCCCCATCTGTCCTAGCAAAGAATTTGATCCGTGCATGAGCTAATTGGCTAGAAATACCTGCTAACTAGGAACATACGCAGGCCTCAAATCCCTCTGCAGTTCTTCCTGCAAACTCCATTCTTTATAAAAAGAGCAATGTGTTCATTAAACACATCATATTTGGGGGATCATATGTCTCATAATGTGATAACTACAACTTAATAGCAATGATTATAATTCCTGCCATCCATCGTTCACTTAATAGTAGGGCCAAGACTATTATGTAAAAATAAAAGGTATGTAATCACTTAATAACATAAAAGAAAATTTGAACCATCCTGTAATGAAATGTTCAGAGTAAAGCTCACTTCAGTCAGTGACCTAAATATTTCTCTTTGAAATATTTTTTTCAGCAAAAATTTGGGAAGAAGTAACGGCATTAAAACTCAGAGTGCATTTAATAACTCCGACAGCAAACAGAGCAGCTAGATTTATTCAACTCTCAGAACAAACGTGATATTAAGTGGTGCTCACAGAATACATCTTGGGATCAAAATAAAGCCTTTCTCTTAGACCTGCATGATATAATGGAATTCATGCTATAAATTAAAGATTAGTATATGTATTTGTTTTGACTCAAAATGCAGGATGACAGCAAATGGATTACCTGACAGATGTACAGGGAAATTGCATTAGGCTGACCCAGGTAACATAAACAAAGATGGCTAATAAGAAAAGTGATAAAATTCTAGGCAACAGGGTTTCAAAAAGAGCATTGATCTAATAGAATTGCCAACAAAGGAACACATAGAGAATGTTGGAAATAATACCACCAAGAGAAACAGCTTCACTTGCTGAAGTCCCACAGACTCTGGGTATGAAAAAATTACTTGGGATTAGAATTAAAAGAACTTAAAGAAGCTGAGAGGCTGAGTATCAGAAATAAGATATTGTACATCATTTATTTTTCTTTGGGTACTCAAACTGGAATGCAAGGAGAGTCTAGACACTCTCTCTGTCTCTGTCTCTCTTTCTCTGTCTCTGTGGGTTCGAGAGAACCTTTGAGTCCATTATTAATTCATTCCACAGATATTTATGAACCCAACCTCACCATACTTCCCAACACAGCAGTCTGCGGTGTGGGTGTTATTCAGGCCCCCAGACCTGGCCTGCAGGAGGAAATCTATTCACCATCTCCGGTGTGACCCCAGCTTGAATGTCACCTCCTCCATGAAGCCTCCCCTGCTTTCCTGAGCAGGATCAGTCCCTCCTCATCTCTGATCCCATAGCATTTTATCCACAATCTGCAGCATGACTCTTGCCAATGTTCTGTTTGCTTATTTGTTTCCTGCGAATCCTCTCCATGGCACATGGCCGGTACCCAATATTTTTGAATAAATGATTAGTCTGGACACAAAATGGAGATAAGGGTTATGAAAGCCATGCCCAGATGAGACCCAGAGACTGCAGTTGAAGGGCTCTTGGAGAAACACAAGCCCTGTTTCTCTCTCCTGCCTAGCGGCTGACTGGGGACAGGATGGGAAGGAAATCCTTTCCCTGTCTGCTTTGAAATGCCACCACCTGTCACCACCTCATCACCTCCCTGGTGCGGGAGATTCTGCCCTCATCTATTTTAAGAACAAGCACATTTGAGAAAGCGCGGTTTTCAATAAGCTCTGGCCCATACTGTAGGAATGGCCCTCTAGGTCTCAGCAGTTGCACAGTTTCTACGACTGTACCGCTGAGTGATGGGTTCTACTAATTAAAGATGATATTGCAATCAGCTTTCCATTCTGAACACGGGGAAAAAAAAGTTGTCCACAGGGTCTAGTAGAAGTTTATCACCTGTTTTATTTTGCTAATGGATCGTACTCCCAACCACCATTACCTGTAAGCGAGCCCACTCTTAATTAAGGGGGAAGCTATTAAAATAGTTTTGCAGTCATAGAAATATTGCTCTTTCTGCAGGAGTGGTCTTACTTAGATACTCATCTGTGGTTTGCAATTTTTTTGAGACCCAACCCTCTTGGTACTTGAAATAATACAAAAAAAATCAATTAAAAACCCTTATGAGGTCAACTGGCCTTAGAAAACTATAGGTAAACAAAAATGCATTCATGTAGGCTATCCAGGAAGCCTTGATTGGAAGGGGGGGATGTTCAGGCATGTTGGGAAATGTCAAACTTTTTTGTTTTTGATTTAAAAAATGGGTTGAATCTTCCCAGTACTATTGGCACAGACAACATATTTTTAAAACATTTTCAGGTAGAAGACTTCCTTCTAGAATCTACATCTATGTGATAGAGCCCACAGGGATTTTATAGCTTTAGAAAGAGCGGTTATAATATGCACTACAATACCAAAAACAGCAGCCAGCATTACTTTGGCCTGGCATGAAGAGCACCTTCCTACTAATCTGCATGGGCAACCTCTAATGCAATATCACTGTATTTAAGAAACTGAAAATAATAGATACCACCCAAATTAGTAACAAAGCACCAAGAATCACATTATTTCACAGCTGGTTTGCTGGATAGATTGTAAACTTAGTTGATGTTACAATTCCATTCCAGAGCCAATTTATTTAGCCAAGAAAATAAAAATGCCAGTGATTTTCAGCCAACTTACCCTGACATCAGGATATAAACTAAAGAGACACAGAACATTATATATGAGTCTTTTTAACAAATATGACCCAAACTTATCCTTATGTTATTTCTGTGATGTGGGTGTTATTATGACTCTTATTTTACAGACAATTTAACACAGGCTGAGAGTACTAAAACCACAGTTTATGTAGCCATTTACATGCTCTCAGTTACATAAAATTAAATACTTAAATTACATAAACATGCATGGAGGCTATGTTTCACACGAGAGGTTCCTTCCTGAAGAGACCACACACTTCATCTTGAATAATTCCAAAGCCATCCTGGAATGGCTGGTATTTTTCTTTTACCTTGCTAAGTGGGTGCCTCCCTGACACATTTAATCATCCTCTGAAGATACAGGGAGAAGACAATGAAGCTTTGCTTTATACAAGATGATGGGTTGACGTCAGCAGCCTCATCCCAGCCTCGTGTGCCCCTGGGTAGCCTGCAGAAGCAAACCGGTTGTATTTCTGCAGGCTGTCCCCATGGTCTGCGCTTAAGTCCCGTCCCAGCTGTGGTGCCACCTACGGAAGTGTAGTTAAAGCCCCATATTGAGTTGCACTGTCTCTAGGCAGAGGTTCTCTTGCATCCTCCTTTTTGGACCTGCCCTTAGAGCTCACCTAGCCCCATTCTCGTTCAACCCCTCCCCGTTCTTTATGTCCCTTAAATCCCTTCTTGGTGAACTTCCTATCCAGTGTAGATTTCATGGGCCATCTTTTAAAAAATACTGTCAGTATCCTAGTTCTCTTATCTTTCCACCATGCCTACCCAGACAATCACAAACTCCTGAACCATTCAAACGCCCACATAGACTGTACCTGCACCCCAGGTTGTCAAGGGCCGCGGGAGAAGATCTCAGGAAGAGTGGTCTTGATTTCTCTGCTAGTCTGTGCTCTCCAGCCCTGAGCCGACCCTCATGGCCACACAAGTCTCCCATGACATGAACATCCTCCCCACCAGGTTTTCTTTCCCCAGCCATCCGACCAGTCCCCACCCTCTGCTCTGCCAGGAAAGCTCCTGCTTCTCAACCCCAGAGGAAACACAGAACTCAGATAGGACTCCCCTCCACGGGCCGTCTCACCCATTGCCCTCACCTGCTACGGCACACCTGCTGCCACCTCCTCTCTGTCTCTGTGGACCAAATCCGCCCCCACCATCCTCCCTCCTCACTCAGTGCCCATTCTGCTACACTCACCTCCTACCTAAACATTCTTCTGAAATCACCAAGTATAACATGGTTAATGACTCCCTAATGGCCAGCAAGGTGTTTTTTTTGTTCATCATCTTTCTTGTTTCTGCTTTGCTGCTTCTCTCTCCCGTCTCCCCTCCTCGCACTTAGTTCTTGAGAAGTTGAGGGCTCCGACTCTGAGGTCAGACTGCCTGGGTTCAAATGTCAGATCTACCTTCTCACTTTGTGCCTTTGGACAAGTCATTGGTCCTCCCTGTGCCTAGTTAGGTCATGTGGTGAGTAGTTGATAATATGTTGACTCCCACCCATCGTAAGGCTGACGTGAACATGGAATGCTTGGAATTTGGTGATTGTAGCCCTTTGCTTATTTAGTAATTATTTAATAATAATACCTATGATGCTCCAATCATTGGTGATACAGATACGGACAGCAATCTACAAAATCAAAAGAACTTCCTGACATTAGTTTGTTTAAAAATCCAATTAACAAAAATACCCTTAAAGCTTCATCTCCTTTTCAAACAGACATCATAACCCCTTTACAGAATTTCAAAGTCGCACTCCCTTTTGTTCTTCTGAACAAATACCACCGGGACCTCCCTTTTGTTTTCAAAGGTATATTTGATCTCTTCCTAAAAAATATATTGACCTCTTTTCAAATGCTTATTAAATTTTGTCTCAAAGTTATAGTTCTAATGAATAAAAAAAGTTCTTTCTCTCCTGAAGATCACAAAAAAAGGTTTGGAATGATTCAGGGAATGGGGAAAATGTGGGGTGAATTCAGGTATAAAAGGAAGCCCGCAATTCTGATGACTCAGGAACTAAATAAAGTGTTTTGGTCTCAGCCTCTGGGAGGCTCCTCTCGTCTTCCAACACAGTCTTTGATGAGGCCAAGCTGTACAGCTGCTATTGTTAGGTATCAAACACCTAGTGCTGCTTCTCACAGCATTACAATATTAATCCCCATGATCCTCCCGATACTTCTGTGATGCATGTGCTGCTATGAATCCCAGTTTGCAGATAAGGAAAACAGGCTCGGAATCTGAACAAGGTCTCACCACTAGTGTGTGTCATGGCCAGGACTTGAATCCATAAAGCCTGGTACTAGCTTCTCTGCTCACGGCCACGACCCCACGTTACCTTCCATTGATAGTTCATTAGACACACTGGATTTTCCATGGAGTCCAGCTGCTGCCCTTGGTGTGAACATCTCTTACTTCCTTCTAAAATATTCATGACAGAAAAGTATAAACAAAAATATCCCATGTCCCCGTAGAAATGATGGGAAACCTAGCTTCTAAGTATGGAAAGAATTTTTAAGGCTAACAGAGTTGAACTGAGAAAAGTGTCTCTCTTCTTCACCTTGTGATTTCATCTAATGAGATGCTGAGTCCTGGGGCAAAATTCTTAAAGATCTTATTTTATCTATTGTAAGGTATCAAACCACCTTAAAATATGTAAGCTTAAAAATAATCATTCAGTTTGTTTAAAACTCTGCAAATTGTGCAGTACTTGGCAAGGATACCTCATACCTGTTCCTTACGGCATCAGCTAAAGTGGGATCTGCAGGATCCACTGTCAACGTGGCTCATCACATTGCAGGCAAACAGGTGCCAGGCTGCATCTGGAAACTTGGCCGGGGCTACCAAGGCCTTTCTCTCTCTCTCTCTGCAGGTCCCCCTCCACAGGATCTATGGGCTTCCTCACAGCATGGTGGCTTGCTTCCAAGAGTGCATATGGCTCAAACGTCAAGAGGAAGCCTTTTACGACCTAGTCTTAGAAATGTCGTGGCAATGACTTCTGCCATAATCTTGGTGTGCCCAGATTCCACACACGCCTCTCTCAATGGGAGGAGCATCGATGCCTAATAGTAACAAGAGTGTGTGGGTGGGAGAAATTGCAGTGGGCGTTTTGGAAAATAGAATCTTCCAAAGGTGGAAAGAACCCCATCCTATGAAGTCAACTGCCTAACTCAGAAACCCAAGGTCTTTACAACTGTTCCACAGGCCCAGTGTCTGCCCAGCAGAAACCCTGGCTTATCTAGTTTGCATAAAAAGGGGAAAAAGATAAGAAAATGAAAATTACTCTTGTTTTATATGTTCAGTGGACTAAAAACCAACCTGCCTTGAGATAAATACAGTGGAAAGCTTTTTGATAAACAAGGAGAGAAAGGAAAAAACACCAAAATCTCTTACCTGTGAAGGTAAATGGAGCAAAAAAAGGCCATTAAACCGCGGTGGGAAAAGTAATAATCTCCAATGCACGATGGTGCCAGGAAGGCGGCATAGACAAGCGAAGCCAGAAGAACATAAAGAAAACAAAAGCAGAGTAGAGTATAATGACCAACAAATACTCCCATCTGCAATGATCTAGACACATTAAATTGAAAATCTATCTTTTCCCATAAATGCCTAGCAAATCCTACAGGAAGGAAATGAAGTCTCCGGATACGAGAAGCTAGGAACAACTGAAAACTAAAGCAGCAACATATCCAGGAAGGAAAAGAAGAGAGGCAGGAACATGTTTCCCTGTGACTTTGTCTCTCAGAGCAGGCATTCTAAATCTGTAGCGAAAGCACCTCCACATGTTGGAGCCAGGACCAGTCAACTCCTTGCCGCCTCCTCCTCCTCCAAATCGGACAGTGCTTTCTACTGCGGACCATTTAGCCACTTCGGTACCGTGCTCACCGGCCGCGAAACCTTGCCCACAGCCGGCACTCACGGTCCGCAGGGTAGCTTGTGCTGTGCATTGACGACGAGTCCCTTTTGTTCATGTGTGATGAGGAAAGCTTGAGAGCACTGGAAGCTTGTTTTGCTTTCCAGGCAGCTTTACTTGTAATGTAAATCGGAATAGGTAACATATACATATATGTTTTCATTACGTTATTTTTAAATGTTCACGATTTTATTTTGATAAATGAAAAATTAGAAAAGTCATATCACGGCTGTCGGCTAAAGTCGCTGTGCACGTTCATCTGTGGCTGTCGACTATAGTCGATGCTGGTACCGAAGTGGTTAAGAGTGTCTTGGCCTGTCTATCTGGTCCACTTGGAGTCCTCAGGCAGAACCTCACACATACACAGCCACGTCTATATTTGACCTGGATTATGTAAAGATGACAAGGAAACAGACATCAGAGAGCACACAACTCAGTCCCTCCCTGGGTAGATGGATTAAGTTATACTATCCAAGGCCAGGCACCGAGTGACAGTTTAAAAACTACATTCTATCTCCCCAGCCTTGTTCAGTAAATTTGCCTTCTCATTCGCATACTAATAACGTATTATCTTATTTGATTAATTAGTTAATGCAATGAACGTTATCATGCCCCATACTATGTGCCAAAGATATCTAGGTAAATATGATTCACTTACATTTGTAGGAATGACTGCTTTCAATACCCAGCTGCCATCTGAACGTGACTTTAAGCATCATTTTTTAAAATTTCAAAGCATTCTTTATTTTCAGTGTTGATACACACCAGACCAGCAGAACACACCAGCCGTCCTAGGGAAGCTGACTCCAAATCAATCTGAAGCTTATCTAGATTGATGTTTTCCTGATTACGTCCTCTTTGGTCTGAATGACAACCGATCACTTAACCTTGCACGCAGAACGGATGCTTGATTTCTTAGCATTTGCAAAATATAAACTACCTCCTTGCCCCTGATGACAATTTTCCTCTGATTACAGGAGTGGGATTTTTTTTTCCCCAAAGGACAGTTGGAACATGTGTATATAAAAGTGTGAAATGATATGAAATAGAGTGGCCCAGGCACAGCTGTTTCCCATTGTGTCGGAATTTTATCTTTAAACTTTGCATTTGATGTATGGGGCTTTGAGGTTTGAAATTAGGTTAAGTATGATCTTTGGCAACAACTAAAT